CCACTTCATCCCCAATTCATACTCATTTTAATTACATCCTGAACACCAATCATCCTCCTTTTCCATAAGAAAAGAAAGTAACAAAAACAGTTAAGTGTACAGTAGAAAAATGTACCTCAAAATCAGACAGTATTTAATACTTGGGCACTTAAGAGTAAAAGCAGGAACTAAACTTTGGATATCTATCTGAAAGACCACAATTTGCCCACATAAATATTCAGCACAACTATTTTGCTCAGAATCAACTGTCCCGAGTAGACTGCTAACAAAAAACAATGTGCAGTAAAACTCGCATATTTAAGCAATATCCTGGAATGAAAAACAAAAAACAAATATTACTTGTTTATTTATATATTTAACACTCACTACCAAAACATAATGAAGTACACAGGTCACTGCCTTTTAAATGAAATGATATCTTCATAACACACATCCAATTTCTAAAATGCACATGATTATTCACATTTAAGTCCCAATTATCTAATTAATCAGTTTTGATTTAAACAATAAGCAATTATACTGTGGAAAATCATGATGACCTTTTTTATGGTCATATTTAACTCTTACGTTTCATGAACAACACTAGCATTTTGTGAGTATACTCCTCTAAAGGATATAAAGTGATTACTTGAGATTATAAATTTCAGGAAAACACTGTAATACTACTATAGTGTTATATACCTGGCAACAGACATTAATAGACGTTGCCTAGAGGGGCGGGGTAAAAATCAATAAATAAATAAATAAATAAATAAATAAATAAATAAATAAATAAATAGGAATTTAGATAGAAGAGTACTCTCTGAATAGATATCATCTCTCTATTTGCATAAACAGAATTAGTATATTGTTAAGAAACAATTTCCAGAAATATATGTACATAAACATTTCAAAAGAAGTTTTCATTAGACTGCACCACTATAAATTTACCATAGAGAAAACAAGTATCAGTCTGTGTGCAGTACTCCTGTTTTATCACACAGAATTACTGGATATTCAAGATCAAGGTTCTTCCTTAAACACAATAATCTGTAATGTGTACAAATATTTATTTATTTATTTATTTATTTACAAATCAACGGTCCCTATAATTTTGTTAAGTCTATGACGATATTCTTTCTAAAAATTTAGCCAATTATTTAAACTCTGGATCAAGGGTGTTTTGGTAACTGAACATAAATTAGAAACTAAATGTTTTAATATTTTAATACATTTTTAAATCTTTGCCAATATTAATAATCTATCTGATTAAAAATAGGAGCACTACTTCTTTTCAAAAAATACTTCAATAATATGATTCACAGAACAGTTACAATTAATTTTATTTCCTCTAGTCATATCCACACTAGTCGTAACAGAGTTCAAATGGATCACATAGTTAAAAACATACAACCATCTCATTTGACAGACAAAAAGTTTCATACTAGCAATTGCAAATTCAAGTCGCTACCAGCAAACTCTAGAATAAGTAACCATTTTACGTTCTGCAGAACGCTATAGTTTCAAAATCTTTAATATTTTAATTGAAATTATGCATCTATATCATATGAATGTCCCCTCTTAGACGTCTTTAAATAAACACAGAATAGTTTATTTTAAAACTTTATAAATAATATGAATGGGAAGAAACCCAAACATCAGCAGCCTGGAGAATGTCAAAGGCTCAGACAATTTCTCAGTGTTATCATCAAGCTAAACAAAAATACTACCTAGCACAATTAAAGAATGAGTATCTATTTATGTCTTGATAGGTGTTTATATATGTCCAAATCATTTTCCAAAACTGATCAATAATGTGGCTTCATACATAAAATAGGTCTAAACTAGGGATTAGTCTACACCTGTTACAGTCAAACTGTAGAAGCTCCTTCTCATGCTTGCATTTTCTTCAGAGGGAATCTGTTTACGTCACATAGGAACACAATGTTGTAATGCTCTCAGCATGGTTTTAAAAAAAACTTTAAACAAAAACTTCAATAAAAATGTGTATATTAACCCATCTTTCAAATCAATAAAAGGTTATATTGATTTAAACTTGAAAATCAAGCAATATTTGTTAATAGGTAGCACAACAACTCTAATATTGCTTCATAAATCAATTAATTCTATAATCTAGAATTTGCATGACCAAATATCCATTCTTCTACATTCTCTCTGAATAGTCTACAGCTAATCATGTACAAATGCATCTGTTTTATATCCATCTATTATCTCTAAAGCAGTTATAACCCTAAACTGCCATTAACTTCAACAATCATCACAGCCTTTGCTGTCTTAATAACTACAGATTACAGCAACTACATATATACTATCTATAGCTCTTAAATGTGCAGTTCGCAACCAATACTTTACAACTTCAAGAAAAAGAATGTTAAGAACTAACCCATTATACTGATAGAAATATACAATTTTACTTAACAGAATCTCAAATGTAGTTTTACCTGTGATACACATACACTTTCTGTCTCTGTATCAAGACTATCATTAGAGCATCATAACCTTTGTTACCAAGAACAATGATAACTCTGGAGTGAAAGACAAATTGAGAAACAAAAAAATTCCTTATGTTCTTGTTTATACTCAAGACAGCTTTTAAATCATTTTTCCAGACTTAGTTATCTCTGAATAAGATAGCTAATGCAAAGGAGTTTCCCTTCCTACAGGGAAAAAAAAGACAGGCCACCTCAATAGAAAAGCAATGCTAACAGAATTACAAACTCAAACCACTACACGAATAAAAATGTTTATTACCATTGTCTATGTAAAGGAAGACTTACTCTAATTAAAAAAAAACATCAACAGTTATCTGCATGCTGATTAAAAAAATTCTCTATACTATTGCGGATAGTAAAAAAACCTAAAACACAATATATGAGTGAATTTTACTTTTCAGCATCTTAGAATAAGATTTAGTATTTTGCTGCTTAAAGCATAGAGTATTAATTTCTCTTATACTAAGTGGAGTGCACTTTTCACAATATGTTTTTATCTATCACAATTGTAACAAAACTAAGGAAACATCTGAAGAGTAGCATTTGCTCTTTTCATTTTATACTAAACAAAATGAACAAAGCAATGAAGCGGAACAAAGGTATATAATAGATTCAAGGTACGTGGCCTATTTTCAATAGGCACCTTATTTTTATTTATTACAATGATTTGCGAAAACTTCAACAAACTGCCAAACCTGATTTTTAAAAACATTCCTTACAATAAGAATGCTCAGAAGACACAGTCATGAAAATATTACCTTCCTTCCTATACAATTAGTAGATATTCAGCTTCTGTTAAACATATGAGCATGCATCTCCACGATCTGTCTATTTGTTCAGAAATTGCATTTAAGGAGATGTTCCATGCCAGTGGTTGTAGTAGAAGGGTAATACTGTTTAATTACACAGGCAGACAAATGTGTAATTATACAGAATGTGAATACATTACCCTAGGGATTTAACAAATAAGCTTCTAAATCTTGCACCTACCTGGGTAAAAGTCTTTGGATTTAGAAAGCTTGATGGTAGCCCCAGTCTCTTTCTGCAGCTGAACAATTGTTTGTCCTCCCTTCCCAATTATAGATCCAGCCGCATAACTAGGTATGAGGACCTTTAGAAAATATTGGCCGTCCTCTGGAAAAAAAGAGATATAAAATTGATTTGCTACCTGAAGTCTGATTCTTCTTGAGACATCCAGAATATTAGTGTACAGGTATTTGGCACAGAAAGGAAACCAGTTGAATTATTATGCACGTGTTTCATATCTAACACTACAGTATCTGTTCTGAGTAAATGCTGAATTGAATATATCATTATTAATTTTATGTTGCTATGGTGTGCAATGACCCAATTGAAGTTACAGCTCTTAAAACAAAATTGTTTCAGTTTCTACTATTATTTCATACTGTGATCCCTTCAAAGCAGAGCATGAAGTAGTTAAATACACCGCCTTACACAAATATTTGACCAAGAACTATAACTTTCCTTTTAAAAATAGTATGAACAAACAAAATAAAAGGAGAAAAATGTTACCATTAAAGGCTATGTGCCCCCACCAGCAGTTTGTTACTGCACTATATTCTTTTAAAAAGCATACAGCTGGTTCCACACAATAGCTTAAAATTTGTGATTTTATTCAAAAGGTCTTAGTTATCACTATTCAACACAATGCGGATAAGATCATTCACCTAAGTAATCCTGATGTATTTCTTTAACACTTCTTAGGCAGCAATGATCTTTTAAGCTTATTAATTAAAGGGCATTAAGAAGAATTTTCCCTGTTAAGGAAAGAAAGCTGAAGTCATGTAGTCACTTTAAAAGGTGACAGCTAGTGTCAAGATGCCCAAAATCAATGCAAAAGAAAAAGAAGCAGATCTAGAACTGTGGAGGGTAATTACCATGAACAAATAATGTATTTCCTACGGTTATGCCCATTCACAGGTCTAATGCCATCAAGTGAATGGAGATCTACCAAAACATTATTATTTCATTTAACAAAGCACAAGCTGTAAAGCCCTCTTTATTTAAAAAAAAAAGAAACACACACAAACCAGCTACATATACACAACTAAACATAAAAATGAATCTGTACAAGAAGTTTGCCTTTATCAAGGTGCGGCTGGGAGCCATCTCACTTTCTCTTGCAAGTCAATGTCCCAGCTAGTACAGGTGCGCCCCCAACCAATTACACAAACAGTTAAAATACATCAGCTATCTAGTTCTGCTGTTTGATAATGTTGGATGAATAAATTCACCTCTGCCTCGGTGCATTGTTATGAAGACTCCAGTGCAAATGAATAGAGGAGATGCTGGTCCCGTTATAACTCATCTCATCCAGGAAGAGCAGGATGTTAACTAACAAGTCACCGCACCAAGACAGGCAACTCCCGCCCTCCCTCCGCAAACCTCTCTCTGACACACACACGCGCGCGCACACATCCCATCACCGTGACCCAACCCCAGGAAGAACAAATCTGTGCAACATTTTCCACTGAAACAGAAAGTGGGGCCAGAAGAACGGTAAAGATTTCAAAAAAATAAAAATCTACCTGGACACTCTCAAAAGGAAACAAACGGAAAAAATAACCCAGATACTAAAAAAGGGGTGGGAGGGGAGTAAAAGTGCTCTTTTGCAGCCGCCATTTATTCGTTTAGTTTCTCCAATTGTTTAAATGTGTGCAAGAGGGGGGTGGCGACAGCAGAGCTTTAGGCTTTGCAGGAACGGAGGGTCAAGGCGCAAGAGCCCCCCTCTCCCTACCCTCCGAGGCCAGGACGAATATGTGAAATTAAAATAAAACCGGGCTCCTAGATGCTTGAAAAGCGGCGCCATTTTGATGAATGATAACATTAGAGAAATAAGGAATGTTTAGGGAAAGGAAAGGAGGGCGAGGTGAAGCGAGGAAAAAAGGAGGCAGGTAGGAAAGGGAGAGGTGGGTGGGGAATTTGGGAGCAGGAGGAGGGGCAGGGGGGAAATACCCACCGCCGGTGTTGGTCCTTTTGGTGCTGCCGGCTTCAGGGGGAGCTTCAAGTGGTCTTTTCCGAGAGTCCGGCGGGTCCAGGTCTATGGGCACCCCAGTGTGGGTCCCGTTCTGCTGGATGGGAGCTGCCGCCATCATGATTGCTGCCGCCGCTAGAAGGATAACTGGCTTCTCCCTTCGGGGTGGAGGGGGGGGAAAGGAGGAGTAGGCGGCGAAGGGGGGCTCGTCCCGCTTCTTTCGCTTTTCTTCTTGTCTTCTGAAATCTCAAGATAAGCTGGGGAACCAAGCCCCCC